CTTGTCTGTTCGTATCGGGGGTAGTGGGATTCTACAGTAATTAAATTCAGAATGTAGAACCCCAAAGCAGAATTTCAGAGGGACCTCAGTTTTTGGCCTCCATATTACAGTGGACCATGTACTTTTGAGAATACAATTGTCTTTTATGTTTGTATTAATTGTAACCCAGAATTAAATAATTTATACATCATCGCTTCAGAAATATTCATATGATGTTTAATAGAAAAAAGGGTTGATTTATTTATGTAGTAGCAGAATTTAAAAATCTCACATAAAATTTGAAAAAAGTAAATAATAGTGATGTTAATGATTTTTGTCACTCTGTTAAAAATCACTAGACATGTTTACATGTTTTATATTTTTCAGTGCACCTGAAATATTAAAATAGGAACTGTCATGTGAAACCAGCCTTCAGTGGTTTTATTCAGATGTTTAAATGAAGCTTTTTTGTTGTTATGAACAAGTGTTTTTGTCTGCCCGTTTTCAATGTCATTTCCCCTCCATCCCCTTTAAAGACCATCTGGAATTTGTTTATCTTCAGGTATTTAACAGGCCCTGAAGTAATCGAGGAGCCATCATATATTTCAAGAGGTTTAGGTGTACCCTGAAAGTTACAAATTAAGTGTATCACAGAAAGTCCATCTGCTGTGATTAATCATATTAACCTTAGGTCAAGTTCATAGTTAAAGAGAACTTAAGATCTGGAAGGAACCTTAGATAGTATCCAGTTTGGTAACTAGATGAGGAAACTGAATTCTGGAGAGGTTAAGCAGTGACTCGTCCTTGGCCACACCAAGAATACCGGGCAGGACACATGCTCCGGGTCTCATCCAGAAGCCTTACACCATCGACATTCTCATTCATTCATTCTTTTTTCTTCAGCTCACTTATTGCTGTTTAATATATACTCATGAGTTTCCTTTTAACAAAAACAAAACAAATTATCCCCTGGGATTCATCACCGCCCTCCAGCTACTACCAACTCTGTCTTTCTCTTCATACACAGACTTCTTGAATGAGTTGTCTGGACTCATGAGATCCTTAGCTTTCATTCACTCCTCAACCCCTCCAGTTTGGCTCTGACCACTATCAAAACAGCTTCATGGAGGCCACCTGCGACGTCCATGCTATCACACCCATGTCGTTTCCCAGTCTTTTCACCTAGGCTGATCTCTGAAGCATTCTGCATCCTTGACCACTCCTTCCCTTGGTTTCTGAGGTTTTCCTTCCTCTCTGGTGGCCCCTTCTCTGTTTATTTTGCAGGTTCATTCTCTAGCTGGCTGTGAAAAGCCAGTATTCCTCATAGTGCCCAGTCTCTTCTCTATTCTCCAGGTGACTTTCCCACACCCATGGTTTCATTTATTAGAGATGACTCTCAAATATGTATAGAATGATACACACACACACACACACACACACACACACACACACTTACCTAATATCTGTAGATATGTGTATGTACCCACACAGATATTAGGTAGGTATGTACACACATATTTGTATATATGTGTGGTGTGTGGGTGTGTTGTATATATTTAAGAGTAGTTAGGTAGGCAGGATGGTAGATAGACAGATTGATAGATATCCCAGGCTTTTCTTTTGGAGCTTTAGATCTATATTTCCACCTGCCACAGACATCTCAAATTCATTATATCTAAAGCTAAACTCATAATTTCTCCTCTAACCCAAGCTTAGTCCATTTCTAGTGGGCTCAATCTGCGTGAACAACTCCCCACCCAACTAGTTATTGCAGGCAAAACCCCAGGAGCCATCTTCCCTACCTCCCTTATCCCTATATCTCACTCATTATTGAGTCCTATCGATTTTATCTCCTAAATATCTCCCTGATTTGTTTATTTCCCTCCATCTCTACCCCTTCTCTTCAATTCTGAGCCACCGTCGTCTTTCAGCTGGACCATTATAGTAGCCACCTACCTTGTGTATCTACATCTAGTTGTGCCTTCTTTGATTCATTCTTCAAACAGTGGAAAGAATACTCTTTCTGAAACTATATAATTGTATAATGCTACTACACAGAACCCTTCAGTGTTTCCTTTTTGCACCCATATGAAATACAAGATGCTTTACGGTATCCACTGAGATTCTCTCTGGTCTGATCCCTCTCTCAAGCCTCATCTTATACAATGCTCTCCCTGGTTCCTGCTGCTAAGACATACAGCTGTCTTCCAATCACATCATCATCATCATCATCACCATCATCACCATCGTCATCTTTTCTTGCCAAAGGACCTTTACTTATGTACTCCCCTCAAACCCCAGTTCTTAGAGCTTGTCTTAAGCACCAACTCCCTAAGGGCATCCTTTCTTAACCTCTCCTGCAATAAACTCCCTTCTTATGTGCCTTTGAACACTGGGCAGGGTATCTCTTCTTCAGTTGCAGCTTTGTATTTATTTGTGGAATTATTTGATTATTTACTTCTCTCCCCTGCTTGTTTATAAGCTCCAGAAGGGCAAGGCATATGTCTGATTTTTCAACTCTGTATCCCCAGTGCTTATTACAGTGACTAGCATGTGGCAAGTGTTCATTTAAGTATCTGTTGAATGAATGAATGAATAGCGTCATATAAAAATGAAGCAGATTTTTAAAGTCAGTAGGTTTGTTGAGTAAAGGAAAACCATAGAGGGAATAGAAGGGAATCAGCCTTGACACAGCCCTTTGTATGTGCTAGGTAATTTACGCACATTAGTTAGATGAAAACAAGGAATGGTCAAGAGTAGTTTTATTTTCTTTAATAACGCCTTAAAGAGATTTTCATGTGTATTTAATACAAATACATGGGTGGCAAGATTAATTTTAGTATGATATGAAATATATCTGAAATACTCTTCTACTTTTTTCATTAACATTTTTAGCAATTTTCAGATTGCATGGTTGTGCATTTAACAGAAAAAAAAAGAATTGAATTAGATGTAATTAATGCCTCATATGTGATTGCCTTATTAATTTCTAATATCACTTTATGAACATTAAATATACATATATCTTATACGTGGCTGCTAAACTTTTGACTTTCTGCATGGCACACAGTTCTGTGTCCTAGTCATAAAAGGCATGGGAAACAAATACACTAATGGTGCCTTTCCATAATAGGAAAATATATGAATGCAATTTTATATGAGGGAGATAAGCAAATTGTAGAGTGAATAATGCTGCCCTCTGAGACTCCTAAAACTGTGTTCTCCTTTTCATATTTACTCCATTTCCACTAAATAATAACCACCACTGGAACCAACCCTTTGGTTGTCTCTTGGTTGTGATAAACTCATTAGGTTTTAACCATACTGAATCTAAAATTTCCTTGAGAATCTGAGATACTATGTTGAATAGGCAGGTATATATATTGGTGTGAAGCTCCAGAAGAGCTTCTGGGGTTATGAGAATACCTGCAGGGTCCAGGTAGACATAGTACCCAAGTGGGAGGTCGGTGAATGTGGTCAACCAGAAGTCATGTGCTCTGTATGAAGGAGGCTGCCATCAGCAGCCCTGGGAGTTTTGCCAAGTGGCAACACAGATCTACTGATACCACATCTTTTAATTTTTCAAGGGAATCCAGACAGAAACTCAGACTTTTATGTGAAAACTGATGATTTTTTTTTTTTTGAAAACTGGTAATTTTTTAACTGTTGGCAGCTAATAATTTTGCTTTTTAAATGTTTCAAAGGACACACACAAAACACATACATGAGCTGAATTTTTTCTCCAGCCACCCATTTGTGACCTTTGTTGCAAATTCTTTATCTTGGTTCTGTGGATCCTCATATTATCTGCATCATCTCTCCAATATTGATTCTTGCTAGTTTAAGATGTCCTGCATTTTAGCTGGACTTGGCTCTCTCCTGTGTCAAGACATAGCAGGCCTGTTCTATCTATGGTTTAGCCCTTTCCTGTGATTACCCCAAATTGGAACACTTGTTTTGTCCCCTAGTTGTTCTGAGTGAGACCCAGCTTATTTCCTCATTGCAAAAGTCCTTCTCCATCTCCTGCAGCCTGCACTCATCACTTAGATGCTCAACACCTCATCACGCGTCACCCTTCATGGTCGACTTCTAGTATATATGTCTTGTCTTTTCAAATAAATTGTGTGCTTTTTCAGGGCAAAGATTGAACATGGGGGTCTATTCTGAGGCGTGGTAGACTCAGAGGTGTGCATAGGACCAGATCAGATAGTGACTCTCTCCTGGAACATTGCTATCCTTAGATGCCTTCAGCGACAAGAGCTCATTGCCTTTCATGGCACCGTGCCAGCTTTGGACAGCTCTGACCTTAGAAAGTGTGTGCTTGTTTATTTGCTTAATCAAGCTGAAATTTGCCGCCTGTCCCCCAAAGATTTTGTTACCCTTGGGCATCTACATTGAATTCTTTTACCCTTTGTGCCATCATTTTCTGGAGAAGTAGGACCCATGTCATTCACAAGGATTTTTCTTTTAACAGGATTAAACAAGAAGCAATGTTTTTATGTGGAAATAGACACTACATGTACACAATTTCTTTCCTGTCAAATTCTGAGGGAGATTTTTGTAATACTTACCTGTACTTTGCCTGTTTTACCGTGTTTCTTTTGGAAACACTTTCCTTTGCAATTTCTGCTTTACCAGCATTAATAAACATTTCCTAAATTTGTGACCATATATTTTGCTTGGTATTACAAGGTCTCTTTGAAGAATTGATTTCCTTTTTTCTTCTCAAAAATCAAAATTATAACTATCTATATTAAATTTTAAATATCATAATATAGTATAATGCTTGGACCCATTACCTCTGCCTTGGATTTCATGAGTATTGTGACACTTGGCTATAAAAATAAAAGTATTTGCAGATTTAAATGGCTCATGTAAACAGACTTTTGAGACCCTCACTCTTATTTTTTTTTAATATAGTACACTAGAAGTTGCTTTTCAACTGTAAAATTTCATGTTATGGTGTCGCCAACTGACCAGGATGCTAACCATAAACTCATTACTCTTTTGTGTGTTTTTAGGTGCTGTGATACTCTTGGGAAGAACCAATATGTTTCGCTTTAACCATCCAAAGGAGGCTGCCAAGCTCAGGGAGAAGAGGAAGGTGAGCCACATGTAGTCTCCAGGAGCCAGCTCTGATGCGGGTGGGGCTGGACTGGGGGAAATCTTTATTACTGGTTCCAGAAGTTCAATTTTTCTGGAGTACAGAACCAGAAAAGTTATTGTGTAGCTTAGATTGATTCTAGAGAGTTTGTTTCCCAGAAGATGACCAGCCGATGAAGTAGTAGGGCAAGTAAGCAAAGTCCAGAGCAGGAGAAATGGTTCCTGCGAGCCCCTTCTCTTCAACCCTTCATCCCCACTAAGGAATTGGGCATCGTTGTGCAGTAAGTGGAGAGTGACTTCCACTTAGGAGCATCTACTTTAGTAGTTATCCCAGTATCAGAATCACTTTAATCCAAAAGTTTACTCACTTTCTATTTTCAGCTATGTTAAATAGGATTTTCGATTGGGGTATGAAGCAGAGAGTAAGTTTAGGACAATTAGGAGAGACTTCCTCTTGGCTGGATGGGGATATCCAGAGGGTACTTTAAGTGCTGGATCAGGGAGGTAGGCAGAGGACCAGAGAGAAAGGGGAGGAAATGAGAGGGAGAGAGATCTATCTAAAGATGTCATGCTGTCCTTAGATTGAGAAAGATAATAAAGACTGCAGTGAACATTTCTAAAGCCAGGCACTGTGTGAAACTTCCACATATATTCTACTGCTTTATCTGTGCAACAGCTTTTACTACCCCTTGTCACAGATGATCTAGATGAGAAACTGAGACAAACTTGTTCCTTAGCTAGCAAGTAGGATGTCGGGCCTGCAGCCCTGACCAGCCAACCCGGAAGTGCCTCCCCATCGCCACTAAGTTACACAGCCCACATCTCACCCTACTTTTGCAAGGGCTTCCTGAGGTTGCTAGTGCTATAGATGGGAAGTAATGAGAAAGCTGCAAACCTCAGCCTTCTCCAGGCCGGTCCTTCTAGCTATTGAAGCCTCTTACCTGTTCCAGCCTAGGGTCTCCCCGAAGGGTCCTTTTTGGTACAGAATTGGAAAAATGTTTGCACTAGCTTTCCATGGAAGCAAAACAGGTCGAGCTCTTATTTTTTGTTTCCCTTCACCTCTCCCTCCTCCATCTGTATCACTCAGTTAAGTGTACGTGAGTGCTGCTGTTAATAGGACAACACTCCTGCCAGGGAATGAGGATAACAAAGATATCATGACCTCTTCCCTTGACTTTAATGCAGCATGGTTGGGGAGACCATCAGGACTGGAGTTCCTGGTTAGTTTTCCCTGTCCAAGCTTGCTAGAGCCCTGCTATGCTTAGCTGAGGACTTGGGTTGTAGACTGTCCCTGATGTGCCATCCTCAGATAGACCAGCTGGTTTGCATGCTAATGAGGGGTGTATGCACTTCATTGCTTCTCACAAGTCGAAAGCATTGAGATCAGAGCACTGGCCTCTATCTGCAAAGGTAACCGTTCTGCCCTATGTCTGCTCTTAGAGTGGCCTTCTGTCCTCCTTCAGCTTGTCCATGACTGACCTCTCGAAGTCCTGTGAGAACCTCTCCACGGTCATGTTATACAACCCAGGGTGAGTGAACAGCAGAATCTCCTTCCCTGTGATTATCACTGTTGTGGTGTCTATTTTGTCAATTCCATTAAAGTCACTAGATAAAAATAACACTTCTGCAATTGTGCCTCCTTATCGAATCAGCCATAGTGATTTTTCCACGTTCCTTTCCAGCCCTTGCTATATATGTACATAATTTTACTTAGTTATAATCACAACATAAATGAGATAACATATTCTGTTTTTTTTTTTTTTTTTTTTTGCTAAACAGCATAATAAGCATTAGTGAGGGTTGTTACAAGCTTCATTATCATTTTCATAACTGTCTAATATTTTAGAGTTGGCATTTTGATTACTCAGTGAATGATCTCTTTTTGGCCGAAGAACTTCCATCTTATTTTATAAATTTATTGTAATAACAGATACAGCTTTGATTCTTAGGGCACAAAATAGCCCAGAAAATTATGGTTACAATTTCCAAGCCCTGGGGGGGTGCCCCTGAGGGCACAACCAATAGTGTTTTAAATGGGCTTCATGGCTAGGTGACCTTGGGCGGTCAGCTTAACTATTCAGGTCCTTCATGGTTTCATCAGTGAAATGGTGGTAATAATGAAAATCTCTAAAAACAGGGAACTAGATGAAAGTACTTTGGGGTCTTTTCTCGTTTTGTGAGGTTCCATAAGTTTATCTTATGTAAGACGGTGGAGGTAAATCTAATAGCAAAATAAGTGAGATAAAACTGACAACATCTTCTAGAGCTGTCATTTGTTTAGTAGCTGCCGTATAACAGGCACTGTGCTAAGCACCTCACATCCATTATCTCTCATAATTCTCAGATGACTCTACCCCATTTCACACTGAGAGAATTCATATAGGTTTGCTCGCCTATGGTTCCGTAGTTAGAGCTATAGTATGATTTCAGGTCTCTCTCATATTCAGCCCAGGCTCCGAAAATGCCTTTCTCCAGCTGGGGGCGAATTCAGACCTGGGGCCAGTTCCATTGTCGGTGGCCTCTGGTACACACGGTGAGCCCGATGTCATTCTCTCCTTTAGCTCAAGTCAGTGCTGTGGTTCATGGAAGGCAGACATGCCTACAAGGAATTTCTTCATTGTCACATCATAGGAGTTTAAAATTGGGAAGGACCTTTGATCACATTTCTGAATTTCTTATTTTTTTTTATATCAGACAAGATCTGACACCTTATTTGATATAAAAATTTTTTTTTGAAAAGCCAGTTAGTGCAACACCAGGGCTGCTGTAGGCTCCTGAGCCTCTCCCTCCTTCCATAACTTCTGGAAGTATAAGCAAGCAGTTGACTCCCTCGTGCCAGCCTTCGTCTGGACCAGTCAGCCTTTCCATCTTATTATGTGGTTATTGAGGAGAGTTGTGCTCATTAAGTAAATGAAATTAGCCATACCGTTAAAAAAACAAACAAACAAAAAAACAACAAAAAAAGCCCCTCAAAGCAATGGATTACTGTTACTTTGAAAGGCACATTTTGTTGTAGCCTTTAATTCCTTACAGTAGTTTTGGCAACTGTCTTTTATGATGACTGAATTGAATCATTCATATGCTTACTTTAACTTTAATATAATATGTAAGTCTTTAGAGTTAATTTTGGTCTACATGATGTGATCCATCTGTTTGATATTGTTGGACTAATTCAATTGTTCTGGGATATGAGGAATGCTTCGTAGAATCACCTCCCATCCTGGGACCCAGTTCCGGTCCTAGAACCCAGGTACCAGCTTCATTATCCTTGATGGTGGTACCTTTTACTTTGAAACCATTTGGAGATGTTATATGGCTGTCCAGTACCAATGAAAACCAAAAATTGATCTGTAGTTGTCCTGTTCTTTGAAACACAGGGTCACCAACTGTGGTCCCCTCTTTCTCTTGCATGTACAGATGGGATCTAAGTCCTTCCTTTCCTCCAAACAGAGGAGAATGTGTAGTCCTCTTAAAATTGATGCCATTTTTTTGTTGCTTGCTTGTTTTTAAGTTAAAACCGTTTTTCTCAGTGTTTATAAAATGAAGGTCAGAGTATACTAATTTTAATCCTCAGAACTTTTCAGTGACTTTCTGTGATCTAAAAAATAAAATTCCAACCCCTTTCCATGTTATTCAAACTCTGCTCTCTGTGCTCTTCTCAGCACATCCCTCCTTGCGTCTGGGCACCAGCCATTTCAGGTACCATATTTATTGCTCAGACTCACCTGGACTAGCTATGCCTTTGGGGCTCTTCCTTTGCTAGTTTCAGAGCCTGGAATGCATTTTAAGATGCACCCACTTGTCCTATTCGGCTTAGTACATACAATCTCTCTTCTGAAAGCAATTTCCAGCTTTCCTCCACCCAGTGAGAAAGAAGTGTCCCTTTCTCACAGTGTATTGCTCCATTTCTGTCATTTTTATTTTCTTCTTTGTAATGGACACTCATCTGTCGACAAGTCCTTTCCGAGCCCCTCCTGTGAAGCAGGCAGGTTCTAGCACAGTGGCACAATCGCCAACACCACCAACAAGGTTAGTTTACAGCTAGCTGGAAAGAGAGAAGCAATTACAGGTAATTTACAAATAAATGCAGAAAGTGAAAATGAAATTAATATAAAATGTCTTGGGGCAATATTTGATGGAGTGATCAGGGAAAGCTTCCTGAGGAGGGGATATTTAAGACTTGAATGGAGAAAAGATGACACTCGTTCAGCAGAAAGGGGAAAGAGGAGAGTAAGGCAGAGGACAAAGCAAGCACAATGGTTTCAAAATGAGAAGCAGAAAGAGGGCGGGAGTAGAGGCAATGTAGTAAGCAAAAAGAAGAGTGGTAGAAGGTGAGTTGGGGGCCAGCTAATGTAGAGCCTGGTAGGCCATTGGAAGGGGTTGACTCTTTTCTAAGAGTGCTAGGGAACCATTAGAGAGCTTTAAGAAGGAGAGTGACCTGCTGATATAAGTACTATAAATAAGAGATATGTGATTTGGAGAAAGAAGCATAGAAACAAAAGACCATTTAGAAAGCTGTTTCCTTAGTTCAAGTGAAAGACAACAGTGGCTTGGATCTGAGTGGTAGCCATAGAGATGGAGTATCATGGAATCAAGGGTGATGCCCAGGCTTTGGATTTAAACAACTGGAAGATGGTATGTCCATTTCCTGAGATGTGGGAGACAGGGAAGACCAATTTGGGCAGGTGTTTGGGTAAGAGTTTAGCTTATGTGTCTTTCCCATTAGATTGGAAGTTTTTCATGGTCGAAGGCTTGTCTTATTAATTTCTTATTTTCAAGTTTCACTCATAAAACATGTTTAGTAAATGTTTAGCACACAGATTAAGAATTAAATTTTAATGAGGTACATGGATCTTTTTAGGAAAGGTTTTTTTACTAATTTCTCTGGGCATGGGTGTTCGAAATAGCAGAAAATGGCATAGAATGCAAATGCAAAGGAATGTGTTTTTGTGGCATGGGTCAATTTCCAAATGACACTGCAGTTTTCGAATAATCTCAGGATCCTCAAGCAAAAGATGTGAAGAGGGCCTCTTGATATGAGAAATTAGGTCAAGGCAGTCAGAGAATTCAAGTGAGAAACAGTCTGTTTTAAACTACATTACAGTTGGCTACAGAGATGGTTATAGAGGCATTTGACACTACCATTATGCTTCCTGTTCACCTGGTTCCAGTTAACAGACACATTTTGTCTCTGCCACCCCTGTAATACTCGTTTGTGAAAACTCAGATTAAAATTACTTGATACTTCATCTCCCTCAACTTTCCACCTGCTGTAGAGAATGATTGCCCATGAATTAAAACATAATTGGAGAAAAGTTTCCTACTCTGATTTATAGGAAGCAGACACCTTGTGAAGTTGACTGCTCTAGTAACTCAGCAAAATGAAGCAGAATTAAAGCTATAGCCATGCTGTTTATACCTTTTTGATGTTACAATATAAATACCCTCAGCCTAAATTAAGCACCATACAATACACTGGAAGAACATTGAAAGAAATATCTTTACTGCTTGGACCCTGGCTAAATTTTGTTATTTAAATCTGGGTAATAAACTGCTTAGACGCAAGAGTGTGTTAGTTTCTCAAGGTGGAAAAGTAGGACTGAGATGCTTTAACAGTTCAGCATATATTTATTAAGAGTCTGTCGTGTGTGGAGAATCTGTGTCAGATGCAATGTTGTCTCTGCTAGGAAAACTGACACATGCATGTGAACCCATTTAGAGTGAAGGCAAGGTGTCTGTGACTCAGGGCAAGGAGAGTGGTATAAGTAACCTGTCTCCCGGCAGGTCCAGTGAAGGGGATGGTGGGACGTGCTGAGGAAGGGGATTCTCTTCGTATAGCCATGCCTTGTAATATGTTGGGTGACAGAAAACCAGAGACTTGCAGAGGAATCTTTCTTGATGTTGAGATCACCTCTAGCCAGCATCATGGAATCTGTTCTAAGCCTAATTCACAGCAACCCACTTGCCTTCAAATCTTATGGACACCAGGCATTTTTCCCTATCATCTTCCCAATTTTTCACCCTGTTTGGCTCATTCTCAGTGCCATAGCAACACGTAGCTTATAGTAAATAGCCAAAGCCCCTGTCAGGAGAAGAGTGGTGTGGAGGGGATAGCAGGGGTTTATGAGGAACCTTCTTTTAGAAGCCTCTGGTCTAGTGCTTTCTTCTCCATAATTGACATGAAGACGTTAGACATCTATAATAATGCCTTAGCTTGGAGAACAAAGCAGGGAAGAATATTAACCAAATATTTGGTCCTGACGCCACCCCTGAGGAGGCCCAAGTCACTCACCTCAGCTCAGCTTGAGATTTCTCTCCAAGAAAAAAAAACACCAATGAAATGGATTCTCTGCTGCACCCTGAGATGTTTGCACGTAGGAGAGGCAGATTGGACAGATAATTCCGGGAAAGGTATCTTTTATGAGCAAACCAGATGAGCTCTGGAAGGAGAGAGAGAGAGTCATGTTGAGGGTTAGGAAGAGATAAGAGGAATCTACAGATTAAGGCCTGGCTGGGGAGCCCTCTGAAA